TATCTTTCTCTATCTTTCTCAAATAAATAAAATCTTAAAAAAGGAAAAAGAACATGTTGATTGAAAAATTCCTCATTATAATCTGATTATTCACATTGACTATAATTAACAACTTGGTGTATATCATTTCATATATTTTTTTTCTGTGACTCTGTGACTACACACTTTAAATAGATATGTTGGTGGGCAGCCTGGGTGGTTCAGTGGTTTAATGCCACCTTCAGCCCAGGGCATGATCCTGGAGACCCGGGATTGAGTCCCACATCGGGCTCCCTGTGTGGAGCCTGCTTCTCCCACTGCCTGTGTCTCTGCCTCTCTCTCTCTCTCTCTCTCTCTCTCTCTCTCTCTCTCTCTGTGTGTCTCATAAATAAATAATAAAATCTTAAAAAAAAAAAGACATGTTGGGCAGTCTGGGTGTATCCAATCCAATAAGGTCTTAGTTTTTTTGGTTTTTGTTTTTTTTAAAAGATCTTATTTATTCATGAGAGACACAGAGAGAGAAAGAGAGAGAGGCAGAGACACAGGCAGAGAGAGAAGCAGGCTCCATGCAGGGAGCCCGACGTGGGACTCGATCCCGGGTCTCCAGGATCAGGCCTTGGGCTGAAGCGGCGCTTAAACCACTGAGCCACCAGGGCTAGCTAGGTCTTAGTTTTTTAAAGGGTTTATATTATGTCCATTCAGTAATTTGCTTTAAAAATATGCATTTCAGGGCAGCCTCGGTGGCTCAGTGGTTTAAGCTTTGGCCCGTGGCCTGGTCCAGGAGACCCAGGATCAAGTCCCACATCAGGCTCCCTGCATGGAGCCTGCTTCTCTCTCTGCCTGTGTCTCTGCCTCTCTCTCTCTCTCTCTCTCTCTCTCTCTCTTTCTCTCTCTCTCTTTCTCTGTCTCTCATGAATAAATAAAATCTTAAAAAATATATGCATTTCAATATTTATTTAGATATTTGAACTCTCACACAAGGGTTTTTCAAGCTGGTGAACATAAGACAAATTATTTCTCCCAAAGAACTGTAACATAGGGCACCTGGGTGGCTCAGTGGTTGAGTGTCTGCCTTTGGCCCAGGGCATGATCCCAGGGTTCTGGGATCAAGTTCCACATCGGGCTCCCAGCAGGGAGCCTGCTTCTCCCTCTGCCTATGTTTCTGCCTCTGTCTTGCATGAATGGATAAATAAAATCTTAAAAAAAAAAGGGGGGGGGATCCCTGGGATGCTCAGCGGTTTGGCGCCTGCCTTTGGCCCAGGGCGCGGTCCTGGAGTCCCGGGATCGAGTCCCACATTGGGCTCCCGGCATGGGGCCTGCTTCTCCCTCCTCCTGTGTCTCTGCCTCTTTCTCTCTCTATCTATCATAAATAAAAATAAATCTTAAAAAAAAAAGAACTGTAACATACATTCCCAGACAACAGAAATATATAATTGAACTAATATTAACGTATATAATTTTTTAATAAACGGATTATCAAGTAATAAAACAAAAATTACCGTAATAAAACAAATTATCAAGAGTCTAAAAATTAGGTTACACAGCTCAGAAGGCATACACAGGCCATCTCTTGCTTTTTGCAAGTTCATGTTATGCTACCTGGCTTTGATGAAAGACCTACATTAGTACTTACTCTTTTGTTAACGAAAAGAAATCCAAAGAGAATTTTTGCTTTTGTGAAAAAAGATGAAAAGCGAAAAAAAGGGCGAAAAGCAAAAAAAGCGCTCTCCATATGGTTTGCAAGCCCTCTGTAGAGAGGCGGCGCGCACCCTGAGCAGCCACAGTGGCGCCACCAAGCATCTTTCCTGGGAACTACACTCAGCATCTCAACATCAAGCCAACGGAGCTTTGCACTGTCTGCGAGCACCTGTATTATCTCAATTTCTTTTGTGCATCCGTTAGCAAGATGTTCCTAAGGTATCAAAAAAGCCTAAGTGTAGTTTGGAGATCTGAGAACACTGAAAATTTTTCCGTATAAATTCATGGTAATTGCCTCTTTGCTTTGTACCATTTCAAAGCCTTATAAAAGGTCTCATAGGATCACTCTAGTTTCAAAGAGTGGGGGAAACCTGTTATATATTAGACTTCTGCTCAATTCATTGGTAGAAACTCACTTCCTTTTTTTTAAAGGAGAGATTGGGAAGAAAAGAAAAAAAATCACACTTTAAAAAAAGTGGTGAACAACTGATAGGTATATAAAAATTATGAGTTCAGAAATTTTATAATTTAAAATTTGTTTTAGTTTCAACAACAAAGTATCACTGCCTTTTAAAAAATAGTTACTAAGTTAAAGGATATATTCTACATGTTCTGCACAAGACAAAAACAACCTTTTATTAAAAATATGAAGAGCCCTCTCATTTGTTTTCAGGCTTTCGCAGTTAAATTGCACACCATATGCAAACAATCAATGAATTGTACAACTTTTTTCTGAAGACTTTACAGTTGTGCTTCTTTACAATGCAGAGTTTCCAAATGGAGGTTTTCTTTTTTTTTTTTTAAGATTTTTATTTATTTATTTGAGAGAGAGCACAAGCAGGGGGAAGGGCAGAGGGAGAGGGAGAAGTAGACTCCCTGCTGAGAAGGGAGCCAGACCTGGGGCTTGATCCCAGGACCCAGAGATCATGACCTGAGCCCAAGGCAGACACTTTACCAACTGAGCCACTCAGTGCCCCAAATGGAGGTTTTCTATTATAGCACAAAATGAGATTTATAGAAAGGCAAAAAAAAAAAAAAAAAAATCACTGTAAGACTTGGTTAAAATCCAACAAAAATCAGCGGTTGCATAAAGCTGACGGATGAGAGTGTTCACATCAGATGACAGTGTTCATGGTTCCTGAGATTTTAATCTATAAGACACTAAAAATATATAAGTATTGTGCTGGGTATTTTGGTACTTAACCTCTCTATATTTTTTGGATGTTAGGCTGCCTAGCTGGTCAGTTGGTAGAGCATATGACTGTTGATCTGGGCATTTATGGGTTTCAGCCCCATGTTGGGTGTAGAGATGACTTAAAAATAAAAATATTAAAACATTTTTTTTTGTCTTAGTTGTTGATAAGATTCTGGCATGGGAATAGATTTAAAGAAGATTCACAACTCAAGATTGCATGATTTCAGGATTTTCCCAAGTATCCAGATAGGACCAGGAGACCAGGATCGCATGGGCCACCTTCAGAGTCTTTGCCATATCTGGTCTCACACGTCTTTGCCTGGGTATTCTATACTTTCATGTTGTTAATTGGAACCAGATCTCTTCTTTCATTATGTTTGACCCATTGTCACTGGCATTTAGAAAACTGCTTAGTGTAGCTTTTAGAAGTGTGGTCTGGTTTCCTGCATCCATCACTGATTACACAAGTTACTTTTCCTGGGACGCCTGGGTGGCTCAGCAGTTGGGCATCTGCCTTTGGCCTGGGGTGTGCTCCTGGGATCCCGGGATCGAGTCCCACATCGGGCTCCCCACGTGGAGCCTGCTTCTCCCTCTACCTGTGTCTCTGTGTCTCTCGTGAATAAATACATAAAATCTTTAAAAAAAAAAAGTTACTTTTCCTCTTGCAGCCTCAGCTAGGCACTGGGTGGAGTAATGCAACCTCTCTCATTATGTTGTTCTGCGAATTAAGTGCGATAATGCACACAAAGCTCTCGGCAGAGGTTTAGAACATAGTGAGTGGTCGGTCATTAGATGATAACTACAATAATTATTTTTATTTTTTATTAACTTTTTAAAAAGATTTTTATTTATTTATTCATGAGAGACACACACACAGAGAGAGAGAGAGGCAGAGACATAGGCAGAGAGAGAATCAGGCTCCATGTGAGGAGCCCGATGTGGGACTCCATCCCAGATCCCAGATCATGCCGTGAGCTGAAGGCAGATGCTCAACTGCTGAGCCACCCCGGTATCCCTTTATTAATTTTTTTCTTTAAAAGATTTTATTTTTAAGTAATCTCTACACCTATTGTGGGGATTGAATTTACAATCCCCAAATCAAGAGTTGCACACTCTACCAACTGAGCCAGCCAGGTGCCCCTCTAATTATTATTTTTGAGAAATATTTATTTTGCACCTAGCTACCTGCAACCTACTACAATCTCACCATTTCCAATAGTTTTTCATTTAATACATTGTAGTTTTTCAAGTATGCAATTATTTCATCTGTAAATAATGATACTTTTATTTCCCTTTCTGTCACACATCACCCATAAGCTAATCTTACTGTGCTGATTAGGACTTTCATAACAATGTTAAATAATAGCAGTGGATATTCTTTTTTAAAAAAGATTTTATTTATTTGAGAGAGAGAGAGAGAACATGAGTGAGCAGAGAGGCAGAGGGAGGGAGAAGCAGACTTCCTGCTGAGCAGAGAGCCCAACATGGGGCTGGATCCCAAGATCCCAGGATCATGACCTGAGCCAAAGACAGATGCTCAACTGGCTGAGCCACCCAGGTGCCCCAGCAGTAGGTACTCTTATCTTGTGCCTAGCTATAGTAGAATTTTCCAGTGTTTCACCATTAAACATTTACTGATTTTTTGTTTGAAATGTAAATCTTGGAACACCTGGGTGTGTCAGTTGGATAAACATCCTACTCTTTTTTTTTTAATTTTTATTTATTTATGATAGTCACAGAGAGAGAAAGAGAGAGAGGCAGAGACATAGGCAGAGGGAGAAGCAGGCTCCATGCACCGGGAGCCCGATGTGGGATTCGATCCCGGGTCTCCAGGATCGCGCCCTGGGCCAAAGGCAGGCGCCAAACCGCTGCGCCACCCAGGGATCCCAACATCCTACTCTTGATCTCAGCTTAGGTCCTGATCTTAAGGTCATGAGTTCAAATCCCAAGTTGGGCATGGAGTCTACTTAAAATAAAATAAAATAAAATAAAAATCCAAAAAAATGAAATGTAAATCTGTACCATGTTAAGAAAGGATACATCTGTTCTTAAAGGAGCCACTTATTTTTACCTGAGGAATTTTTAAAAATATTTTTTAAAAGACTTTATTTAGGCTGGGGAATTCATGTGGAGGTCAGAGTGGAAGCAGGTATGAGTGGGTCCAGCAGAAGGAGATATGGCTGTCAAAGTGTTTGGGTCCATTGGCAAGTGCAGCCCGGCCTTAGCTGTTGCAGGAGGAGTGGTGAACTCTGCCTTGTATAATGTGGATGCTGGCCACAGAGCTGTCATCTTTGACCGGTTCCGTGGAGTACAGGACATTGTGGTAGGAGAAGGGACTCACTTTCTCATCCCTTGGGTACAGAAACCTATTATCTTTGATTGCTGCTCTCGACCACGTAATGTACCAGTAATCACTGGTAGCGAAGATTTACAGAATGTCAACATCACCCTGCGCATCCTTTTCCGACCAGTCGCCAGCCAGCTTCCTCGCATCTTCACCAGCATTGGGGAGGACTATGATGAGCCGGTGCTACCGTCTATCACTACAGAGATCCTCAAGTCGGTGGTGGTGAGTGACAGGGCCTCAGCCTGGAGCCTAGAGCCCAGACCCTAAGAGATAGGTGGCAGGAAGAGTGTGGCAGTGGGTAGGTTGGCATGTGTCATGCAGTACTTTTCCTGGCCTTTCGGCTTCGTCATCATCCTGACTGGCTCCTCTGCCCTTCTTTGGAACCAGGCTCGCTTTGATGCTGGAGAACTGATCACCCAGAGAGAGCTGGTCTCCAGACAGGTGAGCGATGACCTTACAGAGCGAGCAGCAACCTTTGGGCTCATCCTGGATGACGTGTCTTTGATGCATCTGACCTTCGGGAAGGAGTTCACAGAAGCAGTAGAAGCCAAACAGGTGGCTCAGCAGGAAGCAGAGAGAGCCAGATTTGTGGTGGAAAAGGCTGAGCAGCAGGAGAAGGCGGCCATCATCTCCGCCGAGGGCGACTCCAAGGCTGCTGAGCTGATTGCCAACTCGCTCGCCACAGCAGGCGACGGCCTCATCGAGCTGCGCAAGCTGGAGGCTGCAGAGGACATCGCGTACCAGCTCTCACGCTCTCGGAACATCACCCACCTGCCGGCTGGGCAGTCTGTGCTCCTGCAGCTGCCTCAGTGAGCCCTGCCTGGCCTGCCCGTCCTCGGGCCCCCACAGCCCTGACGACTCTTTATACCACCATCCTTCTGCCCCCACCCCAGAAATCACTGTGAGATTTCATGATTGGCTTAAAGTGAAGGAAATAAAAGTGAAATCACTTCAGATCTCTAAAACAAACAAACAAACAAACAAAAACAAAAAAAAAACCTATTTTTTAAAGATTTTATTTATTCATGAGAGACACACACACAGAGAGAGAGGCAGAGACACAGGCAGAGGGAGAAGCAGGCTCCATGCAGGGAGCCCGACGTGGGACTCGATCCTGGGTCTCCAGGATCAGGACCTGGGCTGAAGGCGGCGCTAAACTGCTGAGCCACCCGGGCTGCCCAGATTTTATTTTATTTTGAGGGAGAGCATGTGTGTATGTGGAGGATGGGGAGGAGCAGAGGGAGCAGAAGTGAGAGAACCTCCAGCAGATTCCATGCTGAACACAGAGCCCAACTTGGGCTCAATCCCAGGACCCTGAGATCATGACCTGAGCTGAAACCGAGAACCAGACTCAACCAACTGAGCCACCCAGGTACTCCTTACCTGAGGAGTTTTCGTTTATAAATCCCAAACTCTTATTTTTAGAATTGTCAACTGAAGAAAACTTGAAGAAAGTTACCATGAGGGAATGCCTGAGTGGCTCAATGGTTGAGTGTCTGCCTTCAGCTCAGGGTGTGATCCTGGAGCCCCGGGATCAAGTCCCATATTGGGTTCCCTGCTTCTCCCTCTGCCTGTGTCTCTGCCTCTCCCTCCCTCTCTCTCTCTCTCTCTCTCTCTCTCTCTGTCTCTCATGAATAAACTAATAAAATCTTTAAAAAAAAAAAAAAAAGAAAGTTACCATGAGTACTCATACACCTTCTACCCGGAGCCAACAATTATTAAAAATAGAAAAAAAATTTTTTTAAAAAATAGAAAATTTTAATTAAAAAATTAGAACTTTGTACTTCTTTCCGTTTCAATGAGCTTGACAGCTTCTCAACATGTAGAGACTTCTCCAATGAGGTTGGTGTTGATATTAATGAATGTGGATTCTTGACATTGCATAATGAAATGCATTAACATTTGGAAGACCCAGCATAACTCAGAGCACCAATATTTTCCATATGACTAATGCACAATGCTATAAAATCATACGTGAGTAAAAGATCGATTCAAAGTGCAAGTTAGATCAATGGATTTTAATGTAACAGAGCACAAAACAATCACTGATACGGTTTCAAGTTCCACATCATGATTACTAACCTTTTGAGAAACGTCTGGATTTTTGGTCTTGATTTTTGGTGTGTATCGAGATGAATAGCCACAATTATCTGAAAAAGTAAAATATTTCTCTCTTTTCCAACTACATATCTGAGGCTGTATTTCCTTCATATACTCCAACCAACAACGTATAACATTGAATGCAAAAACAAATAATGAGAATTCATTTTTCTTCTATTAAGCTAGACATTACAAAGATATGCAAAAATCTTAAATTGTTATACTTATCACTTCTTTTTGTTTTGAAAAATGTAGTTTTTTGCAAAAATATGTTAACATGTATTTGGTTCATTATTCTGTTAAGTGAGTAAATACTTTTTTTTTTGTTCGTTTTTTTTTAAGTGAGTAAATACTTAAAAATTTTTCTAATTTAATTTCCAAAGTGGTAAGCATTGATAGATGAAACCACAGAAACAAAGCTCTTGGGGTCCTTAGGAATTTTTAAAATTGTGAAGTGGGGGCACCCGGGTGGATCATTCAGTAGAGCGTCTGACTTTTGATTTTGGCTTAGCTGGTGATCTCAGAGTGTGAGATCCAGCTCCATGTTGGACTCTGCACTCAGCACAGCATCTACTTGGGATTCTCTTTCTCCCTTTGCCCTTCCCCCCAATGGTGCTCTCTCTCTCTCTCTCTCTCTCTCTCTCTCTCAAATAAATGCAGTGGAGGGGTACCTGAGTGGCTCAGGGGTTGAACATCTGCCTTTGGCTCAGGTCGTGATCCTGGGATCCTGGGATTGAGTCCCACATCGGGCTCCCTGCAGGGAGCCTGTTTCTCTCTCTGCCTGCGTCTCTGCCTCTCTCTCTGTCATGAATAAATAAAATCTTATAAATAAATAAATAAATAAATAAATAAATAAATAAATAAATAAAATGGTAAAGTAGTCCTAAGAGCAAAAAGATCAAGAACCACTAAGTCAGGCAATCATCATTGAATGGCTGCTAATATCCCCCCAAAAAGAGATGATGAGATATTCTGTGCCCTGCCTCTTTGATGGAGGGGCACACACCATCACCTACCTATGAAGTAATTTTCTCAGAAAGGCAAGCTGGAATCTGACAAGCCTCTTGATCTAACTACAGATTTATAGAAAATAGAGGGGACAAAGGAACATGACTCCAGGGGCCTGATAAATTCAGTTATGGAAAACCTAGATTGTATAGGATAAACAACACGGATTCTTCAACGAGTTAAGTTGGAAGAAAAATAAAAGGCAGGGAAACCTATGTATTAAAAGGTCTCCTGGGATCCCTGGGTGGCGCAGCGGTTTGGCGCCTGCCTTTGGCCCGGGGCGCGATCCTGGAGACCCGGGATCGAATCCCACGTCGGGCTCCCGGTGCATGGAGCCTGCTTCTCCCTCTGCCTGTGTCTCTGCCTCTCTCTCTCTCTCTCTCTCTCTCTGTGACTATCATAAATAAAAAATAAAAAAATAAAAAATAAAATAAAAATAAAAGGTCTCCTAAGCAGGAGACATGTCAGTCAATGTATGGACCTTCTTTGGATCTTGATTTTATCCTTAAAAAAAAAAAAGGCAATGGGGAGATTTAAACCCTGTGGACAGGAACACCTGGGTGGCTCAGCAGTTGAGTATCTGCCTTCTGCTCAGGGCATGATCCAGGAGTCCCAGGATATAGTCCCACATCAGGCTCCCTGCATGGAGCCTGCTTCTCCGCCCTCTTCCTATGTCTCTGCCTCTCTGTGTGTGTCTCTCATGAATAAATAAATAAAATCTAAACAAACAAACAAACAAACCCTGTGGACATTTGATAGTATTAAAGAATGTTCAATGTTTAGTTGTGATAACAGTATTGTGTGCATGTGTGGCAGGGGTGATGTTTGGAAGAAATTCTGTATCCACCAAGCCTCAGTCAAGGAAACAGAACTACTATGAATATTAGAGAATGAGAAATTTATTATTGGAATTGGTACACCTGGGGGACAAGCCAGAGAAGTAAAGGCTCAAAAAAGGACCAGAGAAAGTCACAAACCAGCCTTGGCACAAGTGAATGAATTGGAACTTACAAGAATCCAGAAGCATCCATTTTCTGGAGGACAACCACAAAGAGAGTTGGTAGACATGTGTATGAAAGATTGTTATTCTTGGCTGCTGCTACTGTGAGCTCACAAAAGAAGCTTTTTCTTTTTTTCTTTTTTTTTAGATTTTTGTTGTTGTTGTTGTTGTTCATAAGAGACATAGAGAGAGAAGCAGAGATGCAGAGGGAGAAGCGGGATCCCCATGAGGAGCCCAGTGCAGGACTCGATCCCTGGATCCCGGGATCAGGCCCTCCAGCCAAAGACAGATACTCAACTGCTGAGTTTATTTATGGTGTCCCATAAATAAAATCTTTTTAAAAAATCCATTTTGTCCATGAGTGGAAGATGGGTGATGTGTACCTGGAGCTTCATTTCACTATTTTCTTTATTTTCTGTATCTGCCTGGAATTTTTCTATAATTAAAAATGCACCTCTTGGGGCTCCTGGGTGGCTCAGTTAATTAAGTGTCAGATTCTTGGTTTCAGCTCAGGTCATGATCTCAGGGTCATGAGATTGAGCCCTGCATCAGGCTCCACACTCAGTGGGGAGTCTGCTTGAGATTCTCTCCTTCTGCCTCTACTCTCTCTCTCTCTCTCTCTCTCAATTAAATACATAAAAATCTTTTTAAAAAATGTACCTCTTAAATTTTTCCTTTGAAGTATCATTAGATTCATGGATTTAATTTGATTTGATTTTGAAAGAAAGAGAGAGAACAAGTGGGAGAGGCAGAGGGAGAGGGAGAGAGAATCCCAAGCAGACTCCACGCTGAGTGGAATATGTGGAAAATGATGTGGGGCTCAATGTCATGAACATGAGATAATGACTTGGTTCATCAAAAAAGTTGGTCGTTTGACTAACTGTGTCACCCAGGTGCCCCAGATTTTATTTTATTCAATGTGTTATAGTTAATTACAGCCATTATTCTTGTGGATGCCTCAGTTGTCCCAAAAATGGCTGGTAGAAGACTTCAAACTGGCTCGTATTCCTCTGAACATGACTGTGGTCCTTAGATAGCTCCTGTTCTTTCTGGCACTATGGGATGTCCTAGACTCACTTTACATTTTCCTTACCAAAAACCTAGAATTGGACATTTCTCCAAGGCACTCTGGTTTCCTTTAGAGGGGAAGAATGTTTAGAGATCAAGATGCAAGTGTTAAGTGTTAAATGTAGGGGTAGGGCAGCCCGGGTGGCTCAGCGGTTTAGTGCTGCCTTCCACCCAGGGCCTGATCCTGGAGACCCGGGATCGAGTCCCACATCGGGCTCCCTGCATGGAGCCTGCTTCTCTCTCTGCCTGTGTCTCTGCCTCTCTCTCTCTCTCTCTCTCTCTCTCTCTCTCATGAATAAATAAATAAATAAAATCTTAAAAAACAATGTAGGGGTAGTTAGTGGTGGTGTCATTCTTCTGGGTCCTTTCTTAAATGAGGGATGTTTAACAAATTGAGAATAGATATTAGAAAAAAAAGAATAGATATTAGATTTTTTTTAATTTTTTTTTATTTATGATAGTCACAGAGAGAGTGAGAGAGGCAGATACACAGGCAGAGGGAGAAGCAGGCTCCATGCACCGGGAGCCCGACGTGGGATTCGATCCCGGGTCTCCAGGATCGTGCCCTGGGCCAAAAGCAGGCGCCAAACCGCTGCGTCACTCAGGGATCCCAAGATATTAGATTTTATTAAATGCTTTTAAGATCATCTGTCAACATAATCATATCCTGAATTTTCACCCGATGAGATGTATTAATAAATTGCATAATATTGAATCATCCTTGTACTCCTAGAAAGAACTCCATTTGTTAATGATGAATTGTTCCTGTAACATATCATTGTATTCTGGTTGCTAATATTTATTTAGTGTATTTACATTGGTATTCATAAGTACTTGTGTTTACACTACTGTAAAGCTTTTTTGATAAACCAGACTGGAATTGTGTACTTGTGAAACATAGATTTGAGACTTTGTTGAAAGGGAGAGTAGATAGGCCTTTGACAATTTCCTTGAAGGCTTTCACAGGTCTGTTTAGGTCATTTGTGTTTTTTTAGATAATCATCCTTTTATTGGGGTGTTCAAGATCCAAGCTTTGCTCTGTCTCTCACTTTCTATTTCTCCTTCTCTTCTTTGTTCAGGGGTCCAGGATAACCTGATCTGATTTCAGATTCCTGGGGAAGAAATTGTGGTTGATTGGCCCAGCTCAGACAAGGTGTTCACTCTTGGTCCAATCTACCATAACAAGGCCAGGGGAGTACTGTGCAAAGAAGCTAGGATCCTAGGTGTCACCTTCGTGGGTCAGGAGAAAAGTCTTACAGAAGAAAGGTTATAGGGGCGCCTGGGTGGTTCAGTCAGTTAAGCATCTGCCTTCAGCTCAGGTCATGATTCTAGGGTCATGGGATGGAGCCCCATGTCGGGCTCCCTGCTTGTTGGGGAACCCGCCTCTCCCCCTCCCTCTGCTCTTCCCCCTGCTTATGCTCTTTGGTTCTCTCTCAAATAAATCAATCAATAAATAAATAGATAAATAGATAAATAAATAAATCTTAAAAGGGAGGGGCTAGAAACTAGGCAGGTATCACAAAAGTTGTCCACTCACTGCTTAGATTTAGTAATTATTCCATTTTAGGTTTCTCAAATTCACCACTTTCTCCTTGAATTGTTATTACGTTCTTGTTTCTGCTTTCTTTAGATTTGTTTCTTTGTCCTTTCTTCAAGTTTCTTCGATTGCTTAATTTATTAACTTTATGCCTCGTGATTAGAAATTGGTATTTAAAACTTCAAATTCTCCTTTCAGGACAGTTTTAGTGTGTTACATAGTTCTGGAATGTGGTGTCTTTATTATCTTTATATTCTTGTTCTGATGCTCTTGAGCTGCTTTGGAAAGTTTTTCTAAAATTTCCATGTTGTTGGGGAAGGGAGCTTTTCATAGGTTACATTTTTTTTAAAGATTTATTTATTTATTTATGATGGACAGAGAGAGAGAGAGAGAGAGGCAGAGACACAGGAGGAGGGAGAAGCAGGCTCCATGCAGGGAGCCTGACGTGGGACTCGATCCCGGGACTCCAGGATCGCGGTCTGGGCCAAAGGCAGGCGCTAAACCGCTGCGCCACCCAGGGATCCCCCATTAGGTTATATTTTGATTGCACAATCAGAGTACATGATCTGAACTATTTCTACTTGATTACAGTTTTCTTTGCATGGCCACTTTTTGTAAGTTTCCTAAGAGCTCTTTAACAGAATATGAATTATATCATTTAGTTGCTGTACTGCTTTATATATTTTTGAAACTTGATTTGTGAAGCACTGAGATGTGAGAATGTTGGAATCTATGACTATCTTTGTATTTGTAATCCTTCTGTCCTTTTTTTTTTCTTTCTGTACTTTTTTTTTTTTTTTTGAAGTAGGCTCCACTCCCAGCGTGGTGCCCAATATGGGGCTTGAAATCACTGAGATCAAGACCTGAGCTGAGATCAAGAGTCAGATGCTTAACCGACTCAACCACCCAGGGGCCCAGCTTTCTGTACTTTAATGCTATTATTTAGTGGATAAAGTTCATGTCCACTACATCTGTTTTGTGGGTCATGTATTTGCTCATTGTAAGTGATCTTTTTTGTCCTATTTAATACATTTTTCTGGCCTTGAATTCAACTATGCTGACATAAATATTGCAAAACTTACTTTCTTTTTTCTCCCCCTTGGGATGTTTTTGCACATTCTTTGCCTTGCGATTTTTTTAAAGATTTTATTTATTTATTTGAGAGAGAGAGAGAGCATGAGTCGGGAGCAAAGATAGAAGGAGAGGGAGAAGCAGACTACCCGTGAGCAGGGAGCCCAATGCTGGGCTCCATCCCAGAACCCTGAGATCATGATCTCAGCTGAAGGCAGACCCTTAACCAACTGAGCCACTAGGTGCCCCTCTTTACTCTTTTCTATTTTTTAATTTAAAAAATATATATTTTATTTATTTATTCATGAGAGACACAGAAAGAGAGAGACAGAGACACAGGCAGAGGGAGAAGCAGATTCCTCACAGGGAGCCCGATACGGGTCTTGATTCTGGGACTCCAGGATCATGCCCTGGGCCGAAGGCAGGCTCTAAACCCCTGAACAACCCAGGCATACCTTTACTCTTTTTTATTTTATTTTTTTTTAAAGATTTTATTTATTTATTCATGATAGTCACACACACAGAGAGAGAGAGAGGCAGAGACACAGGCAGAGGGAGAAGCAGGCTCCATGCAGGGAGCCCAACGTGGGATTCGATCCTGGGTCTCCAGGATTGCGCCCTAGGCCAAAGGCAGGCGCCAAACCGCTGCGCCACCCAGGGATCCCTTTACTCTTTTTTAAAATCAGAAATCAATTTTAGTAAGTAGTATAAGATATAAGGTTTCACATTTTTCCTCAAGTTGTTATTTCCACATATATTATACAATTACATCACTTATTATGTGATCAAGAAAAAAGATTTTAATGGAATTTGTTCTTTTATGTTCCAACAGGTCTGAGTTTCTGTGGCTCCTCAAGATATCAGTTTTAGTCTTAGGACTTGGCACTGTTGTATTTATGTTCAGAAGTGTGGAATTCAATAGCATCATGCCAGAGCTCCCGCATTCTGCTCTGAATGACCAGACACTGAAGCTTCTACCTGAGGAACATCTCAAAAACCTCTTTACCTATGATGGAATCTGGTGAGATTCAGGTTATTCCATGTTGGTCCCATGCCTCCCTCGCTCCTTCTGTGGTTTACTGTGCCCTCCTGTGCCCATTTTACAGCCAGTTGCCTTGCCTTCCTCAGTCCGTGCTTGTTGTTAAAGTGATCCAAACTGTCGGACCCGGGACAGGTTTGGTCTGCAAGATGCAGTCTGTTCTCTACAGCACCCAGCAAAGTCCCTTAAAACTATAGATGGCAGGGCAGCCCCGGTGGCGCAGCGGTTTAGCCCTGCCTGCAGCCCAGGGTGTGATCCTGGAGACCCCTGGATCGAGTCCCACATCAGGCTCTCTGCATGGAGCCTGCTTCTCCCTCTGCCTGTGTCTCTGCCTCTCTCTCTCTCTCTCTCTCTCTCTCTCTCTCTGTGTGTCTCTATGAATAAATAAATAAAATCTTTAAAAAAAAAAACTATAGATGGCATGTTGGCTAAAACTCTAAGAAAGATGCTGCCTTCCTGTCCCCACTGGAGGGGCCCAGACACCACTGGTATTCACATGACTCCAGCTTAAAGACATTTGGTGCAGGGAGTAATTCCAGAGAAGGGGCCTTCTTCCCCTTGTCCATCCCCCTCCCCTCCTTGTATTTCTTGGATTCCAGAATCTCCTCCCAGGTAGGACAGGTGTGTATATGGAAAGGAGATTCTCGGGGTGAATCTTGCACTGGTTAGACCACGGGTTCTCTCTCATCCACCAGCCCACCCACCAGCTCCATGTTCACAGGCCTTTTCTTTTTTTTTTTTTTTTTTTTTAATATTTTTATTTTATTTATTTATGATAGTCACAGAGAGAGAGAGAGAGAGAGAGGCAGAGACACAGGCAGAGGGAGAAGCAGGCTCCATGCACCGGGAGCCCGACGTGGGATTCGATCCCGGGTCTCCAGGATCGCGCCCTGGGCCAAAGGCAGGCGCCAAACCGCTGCGCCACCCAGGGATCCCTCACAGGCCTTTTCTGTTTTTTTTTAGGCTGTTCCCGAAAAACCAGTGCAAATGCGAAGCTACCAAACAGAAGAGAAGCTATAATTTTCAGGATGCCTATGGCCACAGTGAGCTCCCTGCAGTAAAAGCAAGGAGACAGGCTGAATTTGAACACTTTCAGAGGAGGTAATGGAGGCCATGAGGGCTCTTGGGTCCTGGGGTAGAGTAAAAGCTTTCTTTACCATGTCCTGAGGGTATGAGTCCCAAGAAAACAGGAAAGAATTCCTCTCTTGCAGGGATCCCTGGTGGGAACTGTTAGGAATAAAGCAAGGAGAGAGAACCGAGGAAAATGGTCCATAGGTAAACATTTATCAAACTTTGCATGTCTGGAACCTTTCATAGTAAGAAGAAAGCAAAGGAATGAAAATAGTCTGGGATGTCAGTGGGGTGTTGGTGGCACAGCCTCAATGCACCCAGGCCTTCACAGCAAGTGATTTTGTAGTGTCACCAAGGGTATACCATTAATTGATTGTTAAGAACATACTTTCCCCCTCTGCTATGTGCAGAGCCCAGAATCACACACTTGGGGTGTATTGGCCAGTATTGTTGGTTGAAAAGATCAGCGATTGATTCTGATGGGCTTGTATCAAAAGGGTGTTTGTAGGAAAGGTATTGAAACCTCATCAAAAGCTTAGATGAGGGGGTCCCCTGGGTGGCTCAGTGGTTTAGCGCCTGCCTTTGGCCCAGGGCATGATCCTGGAGCCCCAGGATCAAGTCTCACATTGGGCTCCCTGCATGGAGCCAGCTTCTCCCTCTGCCTGTGTCTCTGCCTCTCTCTCTCTGTCTCTTATGAATAAATAAATAAAATCTTTAAAAAAAAGATTTTATTTATTTATGTATTTAGGGTGTATGCGCGTGCACACTAATGAAGAGTGGGGCAGAGGGAAAAGGAGAGAGAGAATGTCAAGGAGACTCCCCACTGAGCTTGGAGCCCGACGCAGGGGCCATCTCACAATCCCAAGACCATGACCTGAGCCAAAAACAAGAGCTGGATGCCCAGACAACTGAGCCACCCAGGTGCCCCAAGAATTGAATGGCTTTTAACAATGGCAAGTGCTTATCTGAGATACTTTTGTAAAATATCACTCTAGCTTTTCAGTGAAGAATACATAGGAAAGTATAGAGGAGGCAGGGAGATTGCAGGAAGATTGTAGGTGGCAACACAGGTACAAGAACAAACAAATCCCAGTCATAATCACTGATGTGAACCGGGTCTCTTGTCATCCTGGCAGTGGCCAGGGAAGAAGATGCTCAGCTCCCACCAGTGCCTCAAATCTTTCTCAGCTCAAGAAACACATGGAATGCCTACTCTGGGCAAGGTGCCAAGTTAGGTACAAAGATAGAGCCTATCTAGATCCTGCTCCCAGGGACCTCCCAGAAGAACAGAGCGGGTAGAGGCAGTGCACCCTCCCTGCGTCCCTTCCACCCACCTCTTCCCCGTCCCTGCTGCTGCCATGATTACACAGAGAGCCCCCAGCCCAAAGTGGCGGGACTGCAGGTGCTCGGTGGCCCACAGAAGGTGTCCAGCACACTGTGTGGAATGCAGGCATTCGGCCCAAAGCTCAGTGTTACAATACTAGCCAGGGGGGAATGCTGCACTAGGTGTCAGTGGGGAGAGCAGCTTCCAATTCTGAGAATTACAAAAGGAATGTTCAAGAAGGTGGCATTCAGAGCTGGCCTCATTTCTGTTACTGAACAGATGACCTAGTATTCTAGTTATTGGAATAACTCTCAGTCTGGGTTCTCCCCCTCCAGGAATGGGATTTTCTTGGTCTCTTTGTCCCCACTTCAGCCCATTGCATAGAATAAATAACCCAGAATCTTCAGCCCCTGGCGAATGTCACCTAAGCTGTACAACTCTCCGAAGGTATAAAATGGAGATGATTTCTAACTTACATGTTCTCCGCTATGTGAGGCAATCCAGCAAAACCCCATTTGGAGATCATGCCTATTATCCTCTGCCAGAGAGTACCTGTCTAATGTGGGAAGGCATGACAGGGGATCCACCTGGATTGCTCTGTGTGTCCTGCCTGAGCCACATAATTGTCTGTATCCTTGAAATCATTAGTGGAGCTTGATATTGGGTGAGAGCTCTGATTCATTTGAGTCTGATTATCTTCATAATCTTCACTTAAAAAGTAGTACATGGGGACACCTGGGTGGCTCAGTGTTTGGGCATCTGCCTCTGGCCCAGGGCGTGATCCTGGGGTCCCGGGATCTAGTCTCACATCAGACTCCCTGCAGGGAGCCTGCTTCTCCCTCTGCCTACATCTCTGCTCTCTCTTTGTGTCTCTCATGAATAAATAAATAAAAATCTTTGAAAAATAAAAAAAAAAGTCATACATGGAGAATGCTCTTTACAAAAAATCCACTTGGGGGTGCCTGGGTGCCTCAGACAGTTAAACATCTGCCTTCCGCTTACATCATGATCCCAGGGTCCTAGGATTGAGCCTGTTTCTCTCTCTCGCTCTGCCTGCCACTCCCCCTGCTTGTGCACTCTGTCAAATAAATAAATAAAATCTTTAAAAACAATGCACTTGAACCAACTCCCTCAATTCTTTTTGCTTCCCTTCTTTATATGATATGATCCCTCACCAACACAATCTGCCCTTAGGAGTTTGGTATATATAATTCCAGACTGTCCTCTATATTGCTATACACACAGATGAACTCACATAATCACATGCATATTCATATATATGTATATCCACATAAACATATACTATTGGGGTTTTGTGTGTATTTTTATTTTTTTATTTTTGTTTTTTTAAGATTTTATTATTTATTTATTTATTTATTCATGAGAGATGTAGAGAGAGAGAGAGAGGCAGAGACACAGGCAGAGGGAGAAGCAGGCTCCATGCAGAGAGCCTGATGTGGGACTCGATCCAGCGTCTCCAGGATCACATGCTGGGCTGAAGGCGGTGCTAAACTGCTGAGCCACCGGGGCTGCCCTGTGTGTATTTTTAAATTTTATTTTAATTCTGCCTAATTAACATACACTGTTCTACTAGTTGCAGGTATAGTGATTCAACAATTCTATACATGATTAGGTGCTCCTCGTGATAAGTGTACTCTTTATCCCCTTCACCTGTTTCACACATCTATGTGTATATTTTTAATGTAATTGGTACCATAAGAACAAATCACTCCAGAATTCAGTATGTTTTTTTAAGGTTTTTGTTTATTTGAGAGAGAGAGAAAGCATAAGTAGGGGGAGAGGCAGATGGAGAGGGAGAAGCAGGCTCCCCACTGAGCAGGGAGCTGGTCCTGGGGCTAGATCCCAGAACTGTGAGATCATGACCTGAGCTGAAGGCAGACACTTAACTGACTGAGCCACCCAGGGGCCCCTTGTTTTTGTTTTAGAGAGTGTGCATGAGTGAGTGAGGCGGGGCAAAAGAGGAGAGGGGCAGAAGAGGAGGGAGAGAGACAATCCTAAGCAGGCTCCATGCTTAGCCCAGAGCTTGACATGGGGCTCAACCTCACAACCCTGAGATCATGACCTGAGCCAAAATGGAGAGTCAGATGCTTAACTGAGCCACCCAGGTGCCCCTCATCAAATACATTTTTTTAAAGATTTTATTATTTATTCATGAGAGACACAGAGAGAGAGAGGCAGAGACACAGGCAGAGGGAGAAGCAGGCTCCATGCAGGGAGCCCAACACAGGACTGGATCCCAGGTCTCCAGGATGACGCTGCGGGCCAAAGGCGAGGCTAAACCACTGAGCCACCAGGGCTGCCCTCATTCTCCTATTGAATGATATTCAGATTTGGGGGAAATTTTCATTATTCCACTTACATAATTTATAATAATATTACATTATATTTACATTCTTATTTCACTAGGATGTGTATAAGGATGTTCATTTCAAACAGTGCTGAAATGAGCCTCCTTATGCATGTGGTTGTTTACACAGGCAGGTGTTTCTCCCCTTAACTAGCATTTGAATTGCTCACTTAGGATATGCTTGTATCTACTTTTATCTTTTTTATTTTTTAAAGATATTATTTATTTGGCAGAGAGAGAGAGAGCGCATGAGAGCAGGAGCGCACAAGCAGGGGGAGCATCAGGCAGAGGAAGAGGGATAAGTAGGCTCCCCAGCCAAGCAGGGAACCTGACTCAGGGCTCAATCCCAGGACCCTGGGACCACAACTTGAGCTGAAGGCAGACACTTAACCGACTGAGCCACCCAAGTGCCCTTTATTTCTACTTTTAGTAAATACTGGCAAATTGCATTCAAGAGGACCTATATTAATTCACATTTTCATGACTAGTGGGTAAGGGTAATACCTTAGATACCCCTTACTTAACCAACACTCCCTATCATTACATTTTAAAACATTCATGAAAAACGCATTTTGTTGTTTTTGTTTTTAAAGATTTTATTTTAAACAATCTGTCCTCCCGACATGGGCTCAAACTTTTGATCCCAAGATCAAGTCACAGGTTCTACTGACTGAGCCAGCCCAGCAGCTCTAGTTCATTGTTCTTAAAGTTGCATTTCCCTGATGAATTTTGAAGCTGAGCACGTTTCATATATGTATTAGCCATTTATTTGTACTTCTGTTAATTGCCTGTTTACATAATTTTCCATTTTTAAATTTTGTCTCTTTTGCATTCTCATAAATATTCAGTACAGTAGTCTAATCTGTCTTCCAGGTGATCTAAACGATACCCTTGGCTACGCTGGATTCCCGAAGGCTGCATTGCAACCACATTATCTTAGTCTTGCAAAGAATCAATCTCACTGACTTGTTATGTGCTGCCCTTGACTGAGGTTGTTATAACAACAAAACCATATGAAAATCGTCACTGTGTTTGCTCTGAAAATATCAAGGCAACAAATCATGTTCTTGGGATATATTTTCTTTCTATCTTTCTTTCTTTCTTTCATTCTTTCTTTCATTCTTTCTTTCCTTTCTTTCTTTCTTGAGTTCAGTGCTAGGAAAAGGTTTATTTGCCTCCCAAGGTGTTTGCTTTGTCCTATTGATAATAAGACCAGAGTACTGATTGTCCAACACTTTATACCCTGACTACCGGGAAGTTCACGTGTGACCCTGGCATTGGGCTACTGCACTGGGTTGGCCCTGTAATCTGATTGTTTTGTTTCTTCTTTTTCACTGGTTGCATTTTTAATTTTGTAGGTGCTTTGTTGTCAACTGCCTCAATTCCTCTGTGGAATTCAAAGCTGCAGAGAGGGGCAGGAATAAAGGGGGGAGGGAATGGAGGGGTGAACTGGACAATGTACTTTCGATTTCTCCCCGTTGGCAGCACAGAGCTCCGGGCACAGGTACCGCTTTCAGGACTAATCAGGGAGGCACCAGACAGCAGCTGCTAACAGTTCTGGTTCTGTTCCCTGCAGAGAAGGGTTGCCCCGTCCACTGCCGCTGCTGGCTCAGCCCAACCTCCCCTTTGGGTACCCGATCCATGGGGTGGAGGTGATGCCCCTGCACACGGTTCCCATCCCGGGTAGGTACATCTCCATCTGGAGAGGAGCAGGGCAACTTTCTTAACTCTTCTTAAGCAAAACTGGGGAGTGGAAGGGAACAGTCGTGGAGTACCTGCTGTGTGCACAATGCAGGAAGCTTGACGTGATTTCATTTACTATTAGTTTCAATGTTTCCACCATTGGGAACCCCTGGTTAGCCCTTTCCACCACTGTGACGTCCCCAGGGATCCCAGATAACAAAAAAGAGGACAAAAATCTGTGAGTCTCAGGAATCTTAGGACATGATTGGCTTTTTGGTGTCCTCTAGCATCATGAGAAACAGGCAAAGATGAGCCCAACTCCTAGGAGAGCATATTGAAAAGAGTATTTATGTTGGTTAAAACTCCCCTCTGGATCCCTGGGTGGCTCAGTGGTTTGGCGCCTGCCTTTGTCTCAGGGCGTGATCCTGGAGTCCCGGGATCGAGTCCCACATCAGGCTCCCTGCATGGAGCTTGCTTCTCCCTCTGCCTGTGTCTCTGCCTCTCTCTCTCTCTCTCTGTCTCATAATAAATAAATAAAATCTTTAATAGAAAAAAAACTCCCCTCTACAAGAGATTTCTACACACTTCTCTAGTTTAGCACCACATCCCTGTGAGGTAACTGTTATTTTGCCAATTTCACGGATGACATAAGTTATCTAAGGCCACCTAGGGAGGCTATATTTGAATTAGAACTTGAATTAGTCACATTATGAAAACAGAGCTGGATTCTTTTTTTTTTTAATTTTTTAATTTTTATTTATTTATGATAGTCACAGAGAGAGGGAGAGAGGCAGAGACATAGGCAGAGGGAGAAGCAGGCTCCATGCACCGGGAGCCCGATGTGGGATTCGATCCCGGGTCTCCAGGACCGCACCCTGGGCCAAAGGCAGGCGCCAATCCGCTGCGCCACCCGGGGATCCCAGAGCTGGATTCTAAAGTAAATACACGGGAATCCCTGGGTGGCTCAGCAGTTTAGCGCCTGCCTTTCGCCCAGGGCGTGATCCTGGAGTCCCGGGGTCCAGTCCCGCATCGGGCTCCCTGCATGGAGCCTGCTTCTTCCTCTGCCTGTGTCTCTGCCTCTCTATCTCTGTGTCTTTCATGAATAAATAAATAAGTAAAATCTTTAAAAATAATAATAAATATACTTGGATAAATTGCTAGTGGTTTTGAATAGTCATTTAAAAAGTGATTTGCAAAAAAAAAAAAAGTGATTTGCCATGTTGGATGATTCCTTTTCTTATTGTAAAATATACATAAAAAAATTAATCACTTTTAAGCACACAGTTTTGTGGCATTAAATATATTTTCATTGTTCTGCAACTGTCACCATCATCCATCTCCAGAACTTTATCTGCCCCAATTAAAACTCTACCCATTTAACATTGACTCTTTTCCCCCCTCCTGCCTGTGGCAACCACCATTCAGTAAAATGTCTTTTCTCGTCTCCATGAATTTGACTCTTCTAGGAACCTCATATAAGGATGTTTTGTTACTTATCCATTGCTGTCTTCCCTTCAGTAACAGAGACACCTGGAAGAGGATGGATTAATTCACAGTACCCATCCAGTGCTGAGGGTGGGCATCAAAGGCTTTAGCTCCACTGGAATTTGAGAAGGACCATGGGACACCACCTAACAGGACCCTGGGGAGAGGGGAGTGGTCAACAAACACCCTGGATAGGAGGTGACACCTGAAAAGATTCTGGAAGGATACGTAGGAGTCACCAGGAAGGTAGTGAGCATCAGGAGCTGTTGCTCTCAAATGGTGTTTTTAATCCTTTTTCCTGTGTCCTCCAGGTCTCCAGTTTGAAGGACCAGATGCCCCCATCTATGAGGTTAGTCCCCTTCCCAGCCCCTTTCTGCACTTGGCATCCTGTCTTTGGCTCAGTGCTCACACCCCCGTCCCCAGTGGTGGCTGGTCTCAGATTTTGACAGAGTGCTTATCCAGATTAGAAATCCAACATGAGTCCAAGGTGGAGAGGGGAGAAGGATGCCTCCAGAAGGCATTATTTTTCCAGCCATGTGAGTGGCTGGAGTTCGAAGGAGGACTTCCAAAGACCTGGGTCAGCACAGATGCTACTGCTTTTGCTCCAAGAGGAAGCTGTCACCACAGCCTGGCTTCTGTGCATGTTGCCAGTCAAGGTTAGCGCCAGCTAGACTGTTGCTCTGTGCCCTGTCTTTTGTCTCCCACTTAAATATAGCTCCAAATCCAACTCTTATGCACAGAGAGCTGATGAGTGCGGTGCGATGCAAACTGCACCCAGAACCCTAGTCAAAAAAGGACTCTGGAAAAAAAAAAAAGAAAAAGAAAAGGAGTCTGGGAAATGTAGTTTTTTTTCTCATTCTGCCTGCCAGAGGTTGGAATGGGTGATGAGTGAGCAAATCTGCCAAACTATTCTATCCTCTGATGGCCTTCTCTTGCCCTCCCCTAGTCTCAGCAAAGCACCCCCAAAACACACCTTTGCCACTTATCCAGTACTCTGTGTTATCTTCATGGTGCTTTTCTGTACCTGAATTATTTTATATGTATTGTGATACACTTATCGCCATCCTTCCCCACTAGAATATAAGCCTTCCAGGGAGTTGGTTCTATTTACTCCTCTTTTCCCAGTACCTGTAATTTGGATCTCAGAAAACACCTATTGGCTAATTGGAGCGTTTTCAGCAAGTGTGACATAATCCAGTGTACTTTTCATAAAAATACCTGACTACACAGAGGACAAGAAGGCAGGAGAAGAGAGTAGCTCTAGGGGGTAGCAATGAGATGGAGAGATGGGGACCAGTTCTAGGTACATTTTGAAGGTAGACCCAATAGGACTCATTTCAAATAGGAATGACCTCCATTAGGGACTTCAACAGTCGAAGAGACAAAGATGCCATTCACAGGGCGGGGAGAAGCAGGCAGAGAGTGACAAACAGGTTTATAGAGAAAACTCAATAGCTCAATTTTGTTTCAACTGCCTGTGGAACTTCCTAGCAAAGCAACCAGCCAGGCAGTTGGGTCTCAGAAAGATGTGAACTGGAGACATATATTTTTAAGTCACTAGCATATGAATAGTATTTAAAAGGTGAGAAGGTGTTGAATAAGAAGAGAAAAGGGCACGGAACCAAACCCTGGAAAACTCCATTTGGAGGTCAGGCAGCGGAGGAGGAGGAGGCAGTCAGAAATCAAAAAGACTGGGCAGCCTGGGTGGCTCAGCGGTTTAGCACTGTCTTCGGCCCAGAGCATGATCCTGGAGACCCAGGATCGAGTCCTGCGTCGGGTTCCCTGCATGGAGCCTGCTTCTCCCTCTCCCTCTGCCTGTGTCTCTGCCTCTCTCTCTGTCTCTCTCTGTCTCTGTATATTTCATGAATAAATAAAATCTTTAAAAAAAGAAGAAAGAAAAAACTAAGTAATAAATCTAGAAGGATGGGATCCTGTAGGCCAAGAGACAGAGCAATGACCCTGAACACACCAATCCCCAAGACTTGATTCTACTTCGCTGGGGACAGCAGTAACCGGCTGGAGAGCCAGACCGGAGCTTCCAGGGCACCACAGAGCGCCTCCTCTCATCCTCATGGGCTCTGCCCCCTGCTGGCCATCCTGGGTATGTGCCTTTCCTTGCATTTAGCGTCTTTCTACCTCACCCACCTTAGGTCACCCTGACAGCTTCTCTGGGGACACTGAACACCCTCGCTGACATCCCAGACAGTGTGGTGCAGGGCAGAGGCCAGAAGCGGCTGACCATTTCCACCAGTAACCAGAAGCTTTTGAATTTCATCCTCCAGCACATGACATACACCAGCACAGTGTACCAGCACCACAGAGTGGATGTGGGTGAGAGCCTGTCCTTGGATGGCAAAATGCTTAGGGAGTGGGATAACACCAACTGTCCCTCCTAAAGTCTTCCTCCTCCTGGAAGCCTGTCTGCATTTAGGATTCTTCTCTTGCTCTTGTTTCTAACCCTAGACCTCTAACTTCCCAAATACTGTCTCCAACACTGCCCCCATGTTGCCACCCATCCTTCAAAGGAAAGAATGTGCATTCTCCGTGAGGGTAGATCATTCATGCACCTGGAAACCACCAGGGGCTCTATGCCCTATTATCCGTAGCTCTCAGAGCTGAAGACTTCAGCTACGGGACTGGAGGGACTCAGTCTGTGTATCGTTATCTTGTCCTGGACACTAACAGGAAAAGAGGTATGTGGAGGAGCTCTCAGCCCCAAGGACAGTGGCTTTGTTTCCCTCTCCTATCCCTATCTCCCACTCCCATCCTAGAAATTCTTGGGAGAACAGTTCTGGCCAGCCCCTGGCAGCCCCAGTTTCTTTCCGGATGAATTAAAGTCACTCTTTTTCTTTTCACTCCACACCCAGGATGAATTCCCAGGACACCAACAGAAAAATGAAACACAGGATAGATTATGCATGACCACAGACTAAAGAGAGAGCTCTCTCTCAGATTCCCAGACATTTCTTTTCAACAAATGACCCTGTGAGATAAAACAGGGCAGGTAGTATTATCCTGGTTTTGTAGCTGGAGAAGTGATTTACCCAAGGTATTTCAAATTTGCATATAGAGGGGGCACCTGGGTGACTCAGCTGGTTAAGTGGCTGCCTTCAGCTCAGGTCATGATGTTAGGATCCTGGGTTTGAGCCCCACAGCAGGCTCTCTGCTCAGTGGAGAGCCTGTTTCTCCCTCTCCCTTTACCTGCCACTCTACTTGTGCCCTCTCTGTCAAATAAATAAATAAAATCTTTAAAAATAAATAAAATTTTATGGGGGCACCTGGGTGGCTCAGCGGTTGAGCGTCTGCCTTCAGTTCAGGGCATGATCCTGGTGCCCCAGGATCGAGTCCCACATCAGGCTCCCCGCATGGAGCCTGTTTCTCCTCCCTCTGTCTATGTCTCTGCCTCTCTCTTGGTGTCTCTTGCGAATAAATAAGTAAAATATTTTAAAAAAATTTGTGTATAGTCCTTGCACAGGGGCCATGCTGATCTCTGAATCCTTCCAATTTGAGTAAATGTGCTGCTGAAGTAAGCACTGATTTACCCAAGGTATTTCAGATAATAAATGGCAAAGTCAAATGTAATCTGGACCCTCTGATTCCAAGCCCACTCCACCCCACCAGACTCTCACAGTGGAAGACGTGTGAGCTAAGGGGCATTCAACAAGGGGCACCTGGCTGGCTCAGTCAGCAGAACACGTGGCTCTTGATCTCAGGGTTGTGAGTTCAAGTCCCATGTTGGGCACAGAGATTACTTAATTAAAAAAAAAAAAAAAAAAAAGGCGTTCAGCAAGGTCCCCAGGGACACATAGCAAGTCAGGAGCCAGAATGCTGTCAACTCTGTGGGTCTCATCCCACGCAGGATGCTCTCTACTGAACCTTCACCCCTGCAGCTTCCTTGAGGCAGTGTGCAGAGTGGCCCAGACACCGTGCTGCCCACCTTGACCTTATTTCTCCTTCCAGTGAGTCTGGAGTCCAAGTCCTCAGTGGCCAAGTTTCCAGTGACCATCCGCCATCCTGTCATCCCCAAGTTATATGACCCTGGACCAGGTAAGGCTCTTGCCCCTGGGGTTCCAGGGTGGGATCTTGAAGAGCAATTGGTGAAATTCAGAAGGGATCCGCTCTGAGGTGGAGGAGAATTCATGAAAATAACTGCCCTGATAGAATTCCTGACAAACAAGATTTGTTTGGAGGAAAAAAAAGAATTCTAAGACATACTCTCCTAATATTGCTTAATTGTATTTAACTGATTATGTGTTTCTGCTTATTTTGCAAACAAAAAACAATTAATTATATCATCTTAAGTAATGATAATAAAAACAGAGTGGTATTGGACTATGGCTAAAAATATCAGTGGAATCACATTGGAAATCCAGGGACAAACATGTTGGAGTTTTACCATGTGATAAAGGTAGCTTTTCAGATTAAAGGGTGAAAAGATGGATTATCCAAGAAATCACATGGGACACCTGTGTAGATAAAGGAAGATAAGAGTCGAACCTATCTTACAGTTCATACCAAGATAAATTCCAAATTGATCAACTATCTCATATTTTTAAAAGCTAAAAATCAAACAAACAGGGACACCTGGGTGGTTCAGCGATTGAGCATCTGCCTTCAGCTCAGGGCATGATCCTGGAGTCCTGGCTCGTGTCCCACATCAGGCTCCCTGGGAAGAGCCTGCTTCTCCCTCTGCCTGTGTCTGTGCCTCTCTCTCTCTCTCTCTCTCTCTCTCTCTATCTATCTATCTCTGTGTGTGTGTGTGTCTCTCATGAATAAATAAATAAAATTTAAAAAAAAAAAGTGCAGATGAGGGGCACCTGGGTGGCTCAGTTGGTTAAGCAGCTGCTTTCAGCTCAAGTCATGATCCCAGGGTCCTGGGATCGAGCCACGTGTCATCCTCTCCCTCTCCCACTGCAGCTCCCCTGCTTGTGCTCTCTCAGTCTCTATGACAAATAAATAAATAAAATATATTTTTTTAATGCTATAAAAATTTGGGATGCCTGGGTGTCTCAGTGGTTGAGCATCTGCCTTTGGCCCAGGGCATGATCCCAGGATCCGCGACTGAGTTCCACATTGGGCTACTTGCAGGGAGCCTGCTTCTCCCTCGGCCTGTGTCTCTGCCTCTCTCTCTCTCTCTCTCTGCGTGTCTCTAATAAATAAGCTTTTAAAAAGTTATAAATTTTTATTTTTATTTTTAAATTTTTATTTATTTATTCATGAGAGAGACACACACACAGAGAGAGAGAGAGAGAGGCAGAGACACAGGCCGAGGGAGAAGCAGGCTCCATTTAGGGAGCCCGATGCGGGACTCAATTCCAGGACCCCAGGATCACACCCTGGGCGGAAGGCAGGCGGTAAACCGCTAAACCCAGGTATCCCCCCAATTTTTTTAATGCAAATGAAAAGCACATTCATATCAGAAAGTATTGGACAAGAAGTGAGGGGCAGGCGGTCTTATAAACTCCCGGTGGGAAATGTAAATTGGCACAGCCTTTCCGGAGGCGATTTGGCAATACCTCTCAACATTTGGGATATGTATTCCCTTTGGGCCAGCAATTGCACTTCTAGAAATTATCACGTAGATACTAGTATCTGTGTGAAGTGATGTTTGTTTGAGGTTCTTTACTGCAGCGTTTTTTGCAAAGACAAAGTGGGATGCATGGGTTAGACCAAGTGTGGTCCATCTATATAATGAAATTACACGCAGTGGCGCTCAGAAGGAGGGAGGAGGAGCACAGGAGGAGGGGTTCTTTTTAGACTGATACAAAATGCTTTCTAGGTTATAAGCAAGTACAGAAGAGAAGGGAGAATAAGCTATTATTTCTGTAAAAAGAAGAGGGAAGGGCAGCCCCGGTGGTGCAGTGGTTTAGCGCCGCCTGCAGCCTAGGGCGTGGTCCTGGAGCCTCGGGATCGAATCCCACATCAGGCTGCCTGCATGGAGCCTGCTTCTCCCTCTGCCTGTGTCTCTGCCTCTCTCTCTCTCTCTCTCTCATGAATAAATGAATAAAATCTTAAAAAAGAAAGAAGAGGGGAAAATATATATATATATAATTGCTTGGTTATGGAAAAATAAAGAAGTTGGTAATATTGGTTGCTTCCTGGCTTCCCAATTGGAGAACAGAAATGGGAACAAGTATTTTCAAGGCATAAATTTAAATATATTTAGAATTTTGAACCACTTGGCACTTTTTGGATATATTGCCTATATATTCAAAATGTATCCAAAGAGTCTATTCTTTTTTTTTTTTTTTAAGATTTTATTTATTTATTCATGAGAGTCAGAGAGAGAGAGAGGCAATGACACAGGCCGAGGGAGAAGCAGGCTCCATGCAGGGAGCCTGATGTGGGACTCGATCCCAATCCTGGGATCAGGCCCTGAGCTGAAGGCAGAAGCTCAACGCTGAGCCTCCCACACGTCCCAACAGAGTCTATGCAAAACACATGTTGAATTATTATTTAAAAGTAGTACCATGAAATTATCCAGGGAGGATTTAAAATACTTGCCCAACACGATAACTATCTCAAAAATAAGAGAAATAAGCACAAGAAATTCACACGCAATTTTTTTCTTTTTTGGCTTCAGATTTGCTTTAAATAAAAGGTGTTACAGATAACAATGGAAACCTCCCCAACTTATTCCCCTCCTTTCTGCTAACAACCACCATCACTTAGGTCGTTCCCCCCCCACCAACTTTTGTACATTTCATATGTAGATTTCTCACAGGAGCCCCCGCATAGAGCATATGGTGTGGTTTTATGCATTTTTGAACTGTTCATAAAATATGGTATGAAGTTCTAGATTCTGACCTTTTGTCAGTCTGTGGCTTGTATTTTGATTTTGTTTCTAGGGTCTTTTGTCCTAATACTGATTCGTTGTTTTCTTTCTAGCTTTTGCTTAAGAAAGTCTTCCCTACCTTGAAGCCATAAAAATATTCTCCTGTATTTTCTTCCAAGGTTTCACGTTTGGCTTTTCACATTTAGATCTTTAATCCCCACAGAAGCTATTGTTATGTGTGGCATATAACAGGGATCTGATTTTTTATATATGGATAGTATATTGTCCCCACACCATATATTGAATGAGTCCATCCTCCTCCTCCATGGCTTGCGTGGCCAATCTGTCACATACCAAGTTTCATATATGTAATGGTCTGAATTTTAATTTAAATTCAATAAATTAACATCTAATGTATTATTAGTTTCAGATGTCGCAGTCAGTGATTCAGCAGTCTTATTAACACCTAGTGCTCATTACATCATGTGCCCTCCTTAATGCCCATCACCCAGTTACCCCATCCCCCACCCTTTGCCCCTCCAGTGACCCTCAGTTTGTTTCCTATGGTTAAGTCTCTTATGGTTTGTCTCCTCTGATTTTGTCTTTATTTTTTCCTCTCTTCCCCTATGATCCTCTGTTTTGTTTCTTAAATTCCACACGAGTGAGATCATATAATTGTCTTTCTCTGATTGATTTATTTCACCTTAGCCTAATACTCTCTAGTTCCATCCATGTTGTTACATATAGCAAAATTTCATTTTTTGATGGCTGAGTAATATTCTAGTGTGTGTGTGTGTGTGTGTGTGTATACATACATACATGACATCTTCTTTACCCATTCATCTGTCGATGGACACCTGGGCTCTTTCTATAGTTTGGTTATTGTGGACATTGCTGCTATAAACATTGGGGTGCAAGTGCCCCCTTTTTTATTTTTATTTGTTTATTTATTTGCAAGTGCCCCTTTGGATCATTACTTTTATATCTTTGGGGTAAATACCTAGTAGTGCCATTGCTGGGTCATAGGGTAGCTCTTTTTAACTTTTTGAGGAACCTCCATACTGTTTTCCAGGGTGGCTGCACCAGCTTGCATTCCCACCAACAGAGTAAGAGGGTTCCCCTTTCTCCACATCTCCACTAACATCTGTTATTTCCTGCCTTGTTCATTTTAGCCATTCTGGCTGGTGTGAGGTGGTGTTGTCTTCCTTTTTACAATGTTTTAAAGATTTATTTATTTGAAAGAGAGAGGGTGGGGAGGAGTGCTGGAGGAGGGGCAGAGGGAGAGGGAGGGAGAGAATTTTGAGCAGATTCCTCACTGAGCACAGAGCTTGACATAGGGCTCGAACTTATGACCCTGAGATCATGTCCTAAGCCAAAATCAAGAGCCAGATGTTTAGCTGACTGAACCACCCAGGCATTCCTCTTCCTTTTCTTTTAAATCTTATAATTTATTTATTTTTCTTGTTTTACTGCATTTGGTTAAAATCCCCAGTACAGTGTTTTTTGTTTGTTTTAATTTATGAGAGACACAGAGACAGGCAGAGGCATATGCAGAGGGAGAAGCAGGTTCCCTGCAGGGAGCCCAATGCAAGACTCAGTTCCAGGACCCTGGGATCATGTCCGGACCAGAAGGCAGACACTTAACTGATTGAGCCACCCAGGTGCCCCTTATTTATTCATTTTAGAGGGAGAGAGCCCATGAGAGGGGTAGGAGCAGAGAGAGAAGGGCAAGCAGACTCCAGGCTAAGCATGGCGTTGGACGTGAGGCTCTATCCTACCACCCCAAGAGCTGAAATCCCACCACCTGAGCTAAAATCAAGAGTCAGATGCTCAACTAATTGAGCCATCTAGGTGCCCGACTAAAGATTTTTGTTTCTACTTTCTATTTTCTGTTTTCTTACAAAGAGTTTTTATTATGAATGAGTATTGAATTTTAATCAGATAATTTGCACCAATTGAAATATTTTTCTCCTTTAATTGGGTTCATGTAGTGACTCACACTAATTTGATTTTGTGATGTTGAAGTATCCTCACATTTCAGGAATAAATGCATTTTGATTACAGTGCATTTTTTGACCAAATGCTGAATTATTTTATTTATTATTTTATATAATTATTTTATTTAGGATTCCTGCATCTGTGTTCAAAAATAAGACTATCAAAAAAAAAAAAAAAAAAGACTATCTTTTCCTGTAATGTCCTTGCCCAGGTTTGTTATAAAAAGTATATACTCCCATGAGTTGAGTAGCTTTCCTGTTTTCTTTTTTTTTTTCTGTTTGTTTTCTTAACTATTTTCTTTCTTTTTTTTTTTTTAAGATTTTATTTATTTATTCATGAGACACAGAGAGAGAGAGGCAGAGACAAAGGCAGAGGAAGAAGCAGGCTCCATGTGGGGAGCCATGTGTGGGACTGGATCCCAGGACTCCAGGATCACGCCCCAGGCCAAAGGGAGGCACTCAGCGGCTGAGCCACCCAGGCGTCCCTTTAGTTGTTTTCATATCCAAACATCTTCATTTCATTTATGCCTGATTTGCTTATTTTTTTAATATTTTATTTATTTATTCATGAGAGACACAGAGAGAGAGAGAGGCAGAGACACAGGCAGAGGGAGAAGCAGGCTTCATGGAGGGAGCTCGACGTGGGACTCGATCCCGGGACTCTAGGATCACACCCTCCACCAAAGGCAGGTGCTAAACCGCTGAGCCACCCAGGGATCCCCTTCTTATTTATTTTTTCATACGCATGATTCTGTAATTTATTTAAGAATTTTAAACATTCTCATTTTTAATAATTTTCGGACTTCTCTATTATTTTTGGTCTATCTGGAATGCATTCATTTGTACACGGTAGACTCATTGGCTGTCGTTCATACTAACTTTCTTTAAGCGTTTGGTAATTTTTGTTGGTGAGCTCATGTTCAGTAGGAGGTTTCACTTGCTTGTTTTGTTTTTTCCTCTCCTTTCTCTCTCCTGATTCCTTTCCATCTCAGAGCTTTACAGTTGGATTGACTCCCTGTTTCCCCAGATTTCTGATCTACTTTTTTATACTGGAGTCTCAGGGTTCCTGTCTCCAATAATATTGAAGTTATTAAAGAGTTGGTTGCTGGGCCTGAGGATGGTTGTGAGGTAGTGTCACTTTTTTTTTGTTTTGTTTTTAAGATTTTATTTATTTATTCATGAGAGACACAGAGAGGCAGAGACATAGGCAGAGGGAGAAGCAAGTTCCCTGCAGGAGCCCAACGTGGAACTCAATCCCAAGACTCCGGGACCTCGGCCCAAGGCAGATGTTCAACCACTGAGCCACCCAGGTGTCCCAGAAATAATGTGTATTATTTAAAACAAAAATGTATTTTTGAGCATGGTTATATCTTTGTATTTTTCTTTATCATTGTTCTATATTTAGAAAAATAAGGAATCTCAAACAGAAAGCTATACCACCAACTTCCAGGAGTCCTCTATCTTGACCACACCCTACAGTACTTCATGCCTCTGATTCTCTACTATCATAAAAGAACCTAACTTGGCAGGTGGCTCAAGAAAAGGAAGGACAGGGCAGCCCTGGTGGCACAGCGGTTTGGTGCTGCCTGCAGCCTGGGGTGTGATCCTGGGGTCCCAGGATCGAGTCCCACGTCGGGCTCCCTGCATGGAGCCTGCTTCTCCCTCTGCCTGTGTCTCTGCCTCTCTCTATGAATAAATAAATAAAATCTTAAAAAAAAAAAGAAAAAAGAAAAGGAAGGACACAATTTATTTGGCATGTCCTTGAACACAAGTTACTTGACTCTTCCCACTGATCATTTTTCCCTCACTCCCTCAGACCCAAGGGGAACAGGTATTAAAAAGGGCATTCCGGAATGACTTCTGACTTCCATCATTCTGAGAAAGAGCTCTGCAGTGGGGTTCTGGAGCACTCATCCACAAGCCCCAGGTAGTGTTGTGGCTGTCAGCATGCATGGAGTCCAACAGAGCCCACCCACCCAGACATCCAAAGGGCTCAGTCAGCTGGCATGGCTCCACATTTGGTGACTAAATTCCAGAAAACACACCAGCAGCTCCAGCTGATTCATCATGTGGCTGTTCCTTTTCCAAGTTCACCCCTCAAGCTGGATGATCTGGCCCAGGCCCTTCACTGTCCAAGTAGACCTACTTCCACTCATGTCTTCCTGAGGAGAGAGACCAAGTGTGCTTCTCTCTAGGACCGCAGCTGATGACAGGGGCAGGTCCCAAGTCTTTAGATGCTTTCTTCCTTCCCTGGGCCCCATGCCCCTCCATCTGGAGCCCCATGATGGGCAGAGCTCAGTGCATTGCAATTCCTAGTGTTAACATGAGGGCAAGATGCAAGCAAAATGCTGACAGGCAAGCATAAGATGAGGCATTCACACAGACAGTAGGGAGTGGCATAGTGGAGCCAACAGGGGAAAGAAATTCTAGAAGACAGACAAAATTTCAACAAGCTAGGTATATTTTAAATATATTTATTTTCTGTCCCAACTAACAAACTCTTACTAAGTGCTAATGGTGTACGAGAGGCACAAGGCCCACACTGTGGGGTCGTGGCATAAGGCAATCATGAAGAGTATAAGTCAAGTCACTAAGGCTTCCCAAAAGGCAGAGCTGTGACATTTACCCTTTTCTTGCTCAGAGAGAAAGCTCAGAGACCTGGTGACCATTGCCACCAAAACTTTCCTCCGTCCCCACAAACTCATGACTCTGCTCCAGAGCATTCGTATGTACTACCCAGACTTGACAGTGATCATAGCTGATGACAGCAAGGAGCCCCTGAAGATTACTGACAACCACGTGGAGTATTACACCATGCCCTTTGGGAAGGTACGTTCCTCCCAGATGGGGAGACATCTGGGTCTTGGGACAAGAGGGCCCCAACAGTCAGGTTCTACCCTGGATGGGGATGCCTGAGTGGCTTTCCCAAGGAAGCATGATCCCGGAGTGGAGGGGGTAGGATTCTCCTCGGAGTCCCTTTGCCAACTCCAAATTCACAGAAAAATTGGATCATGCTCCCATTTCTTCATTAATGAGGTAGTTGTTCTGCTTTCCCTCGCACTTGGGACATTCACTGAGGTCCTTCTAAGTGACTTGAGGTGCCTGACATTCTAAGGATTCCTGACACGCAGAGGAACTTGTGATCCTTATGTCACCCAAGCTAGCGGTGCTCTCTCTCTTTCTCTCTCTCTTTCCCACACGCACACCCTCCTTCCCACAAGGACACACAGAAGGAAATGGGTATTATATATGCCATAGCGTCCCAACTTCTCACACCTTCCAGGCATCATAAGGGGCAATAGAAGGAGAGTCACAGACACTCAGCTGAAAAAGGACTTCAATCCATCCACATTGACTCTAGGACCAAGAAAGGACTTCCTAGCCTTTCTTCGCCTCAGTCTTTGATTCAGGGAGTCACTGTTTTTCCTCCAGTGCCTCTGAGACAGGGACTCACTCTAACCCGGTTCTCAACCTGTTTTGGGCGCAGCCTGGCTGCTGGGAATTTAGAAAGCTCCTGGGTGATTCTAATATGTAGCCAAGAATGGCAACTACTGATCTAACCTCATTTCACCTGCAGGGTTGGTTTGCTGGTAGGAACCTGGCCATATCTCAGGTCACCACCAAATACATTCTCTGGGTGGACGATGATTTTCTCTTCAACAACAAGACCAAGATTGAAGTGCTGGTGGATGTCCTAGAGAGAACAGAACTGGATGTGGTAAGGGAGGGTTGCCAGTTTTACCTCAGTGGTGATCTTTAGGGACATCCAGGAGAGGGAAGGGGAAGAGGGAGGAGAGGATGGGGCAGGAGGGGGAGGGTACCCAGGAAGGGGAGGGGCTGTTGTAGGAGATGCATAAACCAGCACGGCTCGGGTTGAGAGCATCACACCAGGAATCAGGAGGTCTGTGGCTTCTTTTTCTGCCTCCCATTTTTACTTTTTTTCCAAGCAATTTGAATCCCCACATACATACACACATTAATCCTTGTTCTATCTTTAAAGAGGTGTGTTTATGTATCACTAGAAGTGGTGTGGTGTACTGCTCACTACAGCAGTACTCTCTGGTTCTGTCACACACCATTTTAAAAAATGGGAATGTGGGATCCCTGGGTGGCTCAGCAGTTTAGCGCCTGCCTTTGGCCCAGGGCATGATCCTGGGAGTCCTGGGATCGAGTCCCATGTCGGACTCCCTGCATGGAGCCTGCTTCTCCCTCTGCCTGTGTCTCTGCCTCTCTCTCTCTCTCTATGTCTCTCATGAATAAATAAATAAATCTTTTTAAAAGAAAATAAAAATAAATAAAAGCACAGGTAGCCCTAATGACATTAAAAAAAAAAAAAAAAAAGAAGAAGAGGAGCACCTGGATGGCTCAGTGGTTGGGCATCTACCTTTGGCTCAGGTCATGATCCCGGGGTTCTGGGATTGAGTCCTGCATTGGGCTCCCCAGAGGGAGCCTGCTTCTCCCTCTGACTCTCTCTGTGTCTCTCATGAATAAATAAAATCTTAAAAAAAAAAAAAAAAGAAGAATGAGAACATCAAAAATCATTTCACATATAGAAAAGAAAAAGGCAACTACAGTTAATAATACTGTATTGTATTCTTGAAATTTGTGAAGAGAATAGATCTTCGATCTTCTGGCCTTGTCCTCACTGGTAACTAAGTAGGTGTTGGATATGCTAATTAGCTTGATCGTGGTGATCTTTTCAGTGTGTATACACATATGTTGAAACATCAAGCTGTACACCTTAAATATATAATTAAAAATATATGTACAGTTTTTATTTATTTTTTTAAAGATTTTTTATTTACTTATTCATAGAGACACACAGAGAGAGAGAGACAGGCAGAGACACAGGCAGAGGGAGAAGCAGGCCCCATGCAGGGAGCCTGAGGTGGGATCTCCAGGATCAGGCCCTGGGCTGCAGGCGGCGCTAAACCGCTGCGCCACCGGAGCTGCTTCCAAAAATATATGTACAATTTTAATGTGTAGCTCAATAAATTAAAAGGTAGCTCAATAAAAGCTGGAGTTTAAAAAAACAATTTAAAGAAAGAAAAACCAGGAAATGGATAAGATCAGTGTCATTGTGATCACAGTTACCTCTTCCAGGACAGTCCCCAAGGCATCTGTATTGATTAAGACCTCTCCTGGCTACTCTTCCAGAGAGCAAATCACAGTAGCATCAGTGAGGTAGAAAGCATAGTTGCCGTCATGTAAAAATCCAAGCTGGCACCTGACTCTACTTCCCGCGTCAGCCTGGACTAGCCTCCTTGTCTTTTTTTTTTTTTTTAATTTTTATTTATTTATGATAGTCACACAGAGAGAGAGAGAGAGAGGCAGAGACACAGGCAGAGGGAGAAGCAGGCTCCATGCACCGGGAGCCCGATATGGGATTCGATCCCGGGTCTCCAGGATTGCGCCCTGGGCCAAAGGCAGGCGCTAAACCGCTGCGCCACCCAGGGTTCCCTAGCCTCCTTATCTTGATGCCACACTGTCCTCATGGTCCTCGGCTGCGTGGCCAGAAGAAAAGGGGAGAGAAAGTGGAAGACAAGCATCTGTCTTCAAAGAATGTGCTAGAAGCTTCAGACATCCCTTCTAACTTCCATCCTTTCAGCCAGGACTTAGACACATGGTCAAACCTCACAAGGAAAGTGCAGAGAGGGAGTCTTTAGTGATGTAGCTGGCTGTATCTTAACTTAGGCCAGTTAGACACCTGGGTAGCTCAGTAGCGGAGCATCTGCCTTCAGCTCAGGGCATGATCCCGGGGTCCTGGGATCCAGTCCTGCATCGGGCTCCCCACAGGGAGCCTGCTTCTCCCTCTGCCTGTGTCTCTACCTCTATGTCTCTCGTGAATGAACAAATAAAATATTTAAAAAAAAAATTGGGCCAGTCAAAACCCAGAGGGTCTGTTTGCTAAAGGCAAGAGGAAAGCACTGATGATGCAGGACAGGGACAATAAGCCACTAGATGATCCCGCTGGTTCGGGAATGGATGTCCTTGCTCATCCTGTCTTGCTGGGGCTCACACATGTAAAGGCACACATCTTCCGTGAGCGCGTGGACGGCTCAGGAGAGCCAGGAGTGGGAGGAGGGCAGCCGGAGATGCGCGGCACGTGGCTCGTTGCAGGAAGCCTGGCAGCAGGGACTCCAAAGGGACCCGTGTGCACGCAGGCTGCCGCTCGCCTGCACCGCGACACTGCTCCTCCTCATGGAGGGGAGGTACTTGCCTTCTGAAAAGAGTGAGCCTGCTGTCGGGTAAGTGGAGCAGAGCGGTCTGCCCCTTGTACTTGGTGCTCTCTGCTCCATGGACATTTCTGGAGTGAGCAGTGATGGAGATTTCTGAATGTAGGTGAGGGTTGGTGGACTCCAGAACCAATGGCCAAGAAAGCATTCTTGAGACGTTTTTGGTGCAAAATGGTGGTTTTACTCAAGAACAGGACCAGGACCCATGGGCCGAAAGAGAAGCTGCCCCGGGACTGTGAGCAGCAGCGGATTATATACTCTGGGGTTGGGGGAGGTAGAGATAAGGGAAGTTTCAAAAGGATTTTCATCTGTGAAAAAGAAGACTCAGGAACCCTGAGGCGTGGCTATTGTCAAGCCAAGGTTGTTTTTCCCTCTGGCAAGGCATTAACATTAAGGCAGTTGGGGGCTTCCTGGAGGAACTTTATACTCGGTCAGCCTCAAGTATTTGTCAGTGGGCTGCAGGTTAGATGGACGCTGAATTTTACCTACATTTCCTTCTGCCTTTGTTTCTCACATCAAGCAGGATGAAAAGATCAAAGGACCTATAGCCAAGTGCCCAGAGGGCTGTGGCTACCACAGCAAAAAGAGTATCCCAGAAGGGACACCTGGGTGCCTCCGCGGTTGAGCACCTGCCTTTGGCTGGGGGCGTGATCCCAGAGTCCCGGGATCCAGTCCACATCAGGCTTCTTGTGTGGAACCTGCTTCTCCCTCTGCCTGTATCTCTGCCTCTCCCTCTCTCTTTCTCTCTCATCTCTCATGAATAAATAAATAAAATCTTAAAAAGAAAAAAAAGTATCCAAGGAATAGTATGAAGGGTAGAGAACAGGTGTGTTTTCTTGTAACTGAGGTTCAGTCCAGGAAGGCTTCCTGGAAGAGGCAACATGGATCTATCAAGTCTGGGTTTTCTAACATGCATTTCTCTGCCCACCGATTAGGTAGGTGGCAGTGTGCTTGGAAACGTGTTCCAGTTTAAGCTGTTGCTGGAGAAGAGTCAGAATGGGGACTGCCTTCACAGGAGGCCAGGCTCTTTCAGGCCCTTGGACGACTTCCCCAACTGCGTGGTGACGAGTGGCGTTGTCAACTTCTTCCTGGCCCACACAGAGCGACTCCAGAGAGTGGGCTTCGACCCCCGCCTGCAGCGAGTGGCTCACTCAGGTGGGGACAGGCTGAGTGAGGAAGGTGCTGGCTTGCACACTGGCCTCGGGATTTATGCTTTCCAGGGACCTTGAGCCACTGAATATGGCCCTTGCCTTCAGCAGTGGGCTTCTCTCCCTCCCCAACCCCCAACCCGGGAGTTCAAGGTCTCTCTTGCCTCCCTCCTCCCCTCACTGTGACTTCCTATCTCCCATCTGCTGCTCCCACGTGAGACACCCTTACCCCTCCAGCGGTGTCCCCTCCCTCATTCCCCCCCCTTTTTTTAAAGGTTTTATTTATTTATTCATAAGAGACAGAGAGAGAGAGGTGCAGAGACACAGGCAGAGGGAGAAGCAGGCTCCATGCAGGGAGCCAGATGTGGAATTCGATCCCAGGTCTCCAGGATCAGGCCCTGGGCTGAAGGCGGCACTAAATTGCTGAGTCACTGGGCTGCCTGCCTCTGCCTCTTTTTTTTAAAATATTTTATTTATTTAGTCATGAGAGACAGAGAAGCAGAAACATAGGCAGAGGGAGAAGCAGGCTCCATGTGGGGAGCCCAATGTGGGACTTGATCCCAGGATCAAAAGGATCATGACCTGAACCAAAGGCAGACGCCCAACCACTGAGCCACCCAGGTGTACCCCTCATTCCTCTTATCCCCTCAGCTCTGGAGTTCATAGTTCTGTCCAGCTGGAAAGCTCATCAGTGTCTCTCTGTCCATACCTCTGAGAAATGTGGGTATTTATTTCCTTCCAACTCATCAGCTTGGACAGGTGGTTTTGCAGGGCGCTCAACCTCCCCATGGGTAAAAACCCCTGCTTCCCTTCCCCGCCTAGACCTGGAATATGGCCCTGGGTCTCTGGGTGAAGGTCATGTTCTTCCTCTCTTGGCAGAGTTCTTTATCGATGGGCTCGGGAGCTTGCTCGTGGGATCATGTCCAGAAGTGGTGATAGGTCACCAGGTCCGATCTCCCATGGCTGATCCAGAGCTGGCCATCCTGGAGAAGACCTACAGTGCATTCCGGACCAACACCAACGACCAGGTCCAGTTCAAGCTGGCTCTCCACTACTTCAAGAACCATCTCCAGTGCTCCACATGAGGGTGCCCAGGGATCAGAAATGCTCTAGACTTATTGGTTGTGGGTGTCTAGGACAGCAGAACTGGTGGTTGGGCTACCAAAATAGGGACTCCCGATGAGATGAATGTTGTAAAGAACAAGCCAGAGTGGGTAGGACAGATGAGTCGGGCTCAGTGACTAACAATTTCCATCAGAGACTTAGGGTCATTAGAAATGGACCAATCCCTGAGAAGGGCAACAGAGGCCTATCAATAATAATCATTATTTGTTTGTATGTTGTGGTACCATTTGTGGAGCATCCGTGCACAGGGCATCTTGCATCATCTCATTTGATCTCATGCAAAAGAATATATTATGGGTTGGTATCCTTGGTCAAAAGAATGGCTGTGGGGTTTTGAGGATTATTTGGTAGAAATTATATCATAGTCAGAAGCATCATCTCCAACATCCACAAATGTTTATTTGTTGCTACCTTGGGGACTCAAATAATGGGACTAATGCAGGGTCCTGGTCTTGAGGATGATGCAGCCTGGTCCAGTTCAGTCGGCTAGCAGAATTGTGCAGCCAGGATCAGGGGACCAGGGGAGAGAGGAGTGACCGGGGCCCAGGCAGCTGAGGAAGTCTCTGTGGGGAGAGGTCAGCTGGAGCCGGGAGGATGGATGGGATTCAGGCAGCAGAGGGAGGAAGGGAAGTGAGCACTGTAGCCTCCTGTCTGCCAGAACAAAGGTTTCCCTGGTATCAGACTTGCTACTGTAAGGACACATTCCAGAACACCAGGGATTGAACTCCGAACCTGTGCTAAGGTGCCATGATAAATAGTGTAGGTGCAGTGGTGCTGCCAGGAATTTGAGATCAATTGTTGATCACTCAAGACCCATGTCATGTGCAGAAAGGAGTTCTGAGATATGAATAAAACTCCATGAAAATGTTTTGGTGGTCCAACAATTTTGAAAAATACCGAAAGTTGTATCTCCCTCTTGGAAAGTTGCAATTCACATTAGAATATTAAAGTCTCTAAAAGGGCAGCCCAGGTGGCCCAGGGGTTTAGCGGGGCCTTCAGCCCAGGGCGTGATCCTGGAGACCCTGGATCGAGTCCCATGTCAGCCTACTTCTCCCTCTGCCTGTGTCTCTGCCTCTCTCTCACTCTCTCTCTGTGTGTGTCTCTCTATGAATAAATAAATAAAATCTTTAAAAAAAGAAAGTCTCTAAGAAGTCCTGCAGTGAAGAAATTGGGTTAATTTTGTTTAATTCAGCATTTCCCAGCTATGGATATAGACTGGCAATCATTTTTTTTTAATACTCCCAAACCCAGAGTTGAACACCTATCTCATTCCATTTTGTACGTCATCAAGATTCTATTACAGGGACCCCTGGGTGGCTCAGCAGTTGAGCATCTGCCTTCGGCTCAGGGCATGATTCCGGGATCCGAGATCAAGTCCTGCATTGGGCTCCTTACGGGGAGCCTGCTTCTCCCTCTCCCTAAATAAAATCTTAAAAATAAAAGAAAAAAGGATTCTATTACAAAAGCTTCAGCAGCTTTAACATGGACAATCATTTGGTGCGATAGTACATGCACTTTGCCTATAATAACAGAGCTAATGGAAAAAAAAAATAACAGAGCTAATGGGAAGATGATGGTGGACTGTCCCATTCAGTCCTGCCTTTAGAACCAGGCAAGAGAAGCCCCTCGCTGGATCCTGTGCTCTAGAGAACACTGTATATCACAGACACACGTGCTTGCCGATGAATACCGGGAATCTCTGTCACTTGGGATCCAGTGCTCAGCATGAGTACAGCATAACCTGTTATCCTAGATACCCACTCCCGGGACTAACAGTGTTCAGGCCCCAGGGAAATGCTTCTTCACACCTCATGTCCTCAAATGACAACTGCAATCCAGATGCATCAAAACTCTGTGGCAGAGCAGCTGGGGTGGCTCAGCAGTTTAGCGCCGCCTTCAGCCCAGGGCCTGATCCTAGAGACCTGGGATCAAGTCCCGCTTTGGGCTCCCGGTGTGGAGCCTGCTTCTCCCTCTGCCTGTGTCTCTGCCTCTGTGTGTGTGTGTGTGTGTGTCTCTCATGAATAAATAAAATCTTAAAAAAAAAAAAAGCCTCTGTGGCAGTGCTTTGGAGTGCAGGTGAGAGCTGAGTGGCCAAATGCTTAGGTAAAGGAAAAAGACAAATTTTTTTTTTTTTTTTTTTTATGATAGTCACACACACAGAGAGAGAGGCAGAGACACAGGCAGAGGGAGAAGCAGGCTCCATGCACCGGGAGCCCGACGTGGGATTCGATCCCGGGTCTCCAGGATCGCACCCTGGGCCAAAGGCTGGCACCAAACCGCTGCACCACCCAGGGATCCCAAGACAAATTTTTAATTTGTTAAATCCTGCCTCTCAGATACCATAAATAGCAGTAGAATCTTGCCTAGTACTAGTGTCAATTTTCTTGCCTTTCATTCATGGTTCTGAAGTGCTAAAAAACTAGTATAGTTGTCAAAGCAACTGCACAAAGTGGCTGAAGGGACATTTAAAAATAGTAGACTAGGCACCTGGGTGGCTCAGCGGTTGAGCCATCTGCCTTTGGCTCAGGTCCTGATCCTGGAGTCCTGGGATCGAGTCCCACGTCAGGCTCCCTGTGGGGAGCCTGACTCTCCCTCTGCCTATGTCTCTGCCCCTCTCTCTGTGTCTCTCATGAATAAATAAAATCTTAATAAAAAATAAAAATAGTAAACCATTTGTACTCATTAATTCTTACCTATATAGATCTAGATGTATGATGCTTGAAATGTGACATCAATTATTTACATTGGCAATTTGGTTGGTCATTGAATGCTGAAGTTGCAATAATTTTACTTATATAAAAATATTTAATGACTTAAGTGTTCAAAAAATTAAATTTAAAATAGCTAAATTTGATTTTTAAATGTGGTATTTGTCCATTAGAATTTTGATTTTCTTTTAATCTTTTAAAAAAATTATCTATTTACTTATTTTAGAGAGAGAGACAGCCCGAATTGGAGGAGGAATAGAGGGAGAGGGAGAAAGAGAATCTCAAGCAGACTCCATGCTGAGCATGGAGCCTGACTCAGGGCTCCATCTTATGACCCTGAGATCATGATGTGAGCTGAAACCAGAAGTCCAACACTTAACTGACTGAGCCACTCAGACCCCACTATCTTTCAATATTAGTAGATAATTTTGAGTATTTAAAAATGTTTAAAAAGATTTTATTTTTTCAGCAATCTCCACACCCAATGTGGGGCTAGAACTCACAACTCTGAAATCAAGAGTCACATGTTCCACCGACTGAGCCAGCCACGTACCCCAATTTTGAGTATTTTACAGGAAAAATAACTTCTAATAACATAAAAAATAATTTTAATTCAAAAACTTTTTACAGGGGATCCCTGGGTGGCTCAGTGGTTTAGCGAAGCCTTCAGCCCAGGGCGTGATCCTGGAGACCCAGGATCAAGTCCCACGTTGGGCTCCCTGCATGGAGCCTGCTTCTCCCTCTGCCTGTGTCTCTGCCTCTCTCTGTCTCTCATGAATAAATAAATAAAATCTTTAAAAATAATTAAAATAAAATAAAACCTTTTTACATTTGCTTCAATTTACCGCTGAGGTAAATTTTGCACACTTTGAACACACTCATCTTTTTAAATTCCTTAGATTATTAAGGAATACAGCACTTAGTGTGCTGGTCCACAAATCCATAAGGAACATGCGTCAAAAAGTAATCAACACACTGTTTCCTTCATCGAGAAAGTCTTGTCATGAAAAATATCAGCTCAACTAAAACAGTGTGCTTTGTCTTAAAAAAAAAAAAAAAAAAAGCCCCAAGCTCTTTATCTCAATGCAGACTAGTCGCAAGAGTTGGCAGACCAGACCTTGGGACATAGTTTGGATTAAGGGTTGGGAAAATTTTTGTAAAGGACCAGACAATAAACATTTTAAGTTTTGTGAGCCACTGAAGGTCTTTTTTTCTTTTTTAAATATATAACTCCTTAAAATGTAAAAATGGGATGGCCTAGTCAGTGAAGCATCTGACTCTTTTTTTTTTTTTTTTAAAGACTCTACTTATTTATTCATGAGAGACACACAGAGAGAGACGCAGAGACACAGGCAGAGGGAGAAGCCAGCTCCATGCAGGGAGCCCGACGTGGGACTCGACCCCGGGTCTCAGGATCACGCCTTGGGCTGAAGGCGGCGCTAAACCGCTGAGCCACCCGGGAACCGCTGAGCCACCTGGGCGGCCCAGCATCTGACTCTTGATTTCGGCTCAGGTCATGATCTCAGGGTCATGAGATCCAACTCCATGCTCAGCGTGGAGTTTGCTTGAGATTCTCTCTCCCTCTACCTTTGCTCCTCCCCGCCCCTCCACCCCCACTCACGCTCTCTGAAATAAATAATAAACTTGTTCTCCTAAAAAAATAAAAAATAAGTAAAACATAAAAATGATTCTGAGCCTGTGCAGCAAAAACCAAGCCATAGGCTGCCTTTGGCCCACGGGATATAGTTTGTTGACCGATTAATAATGTCATTGGCAGGGACGCCTAGGTGGCTCAGTGGTTGAGTGTCTGCCTTCAGCCCAGGTCATGATCCCGGGGTCCTGGGGTCCAGTCCCGCATCGGGCTCCCTGCACTGAGCCTGCTTCTCGCTCGGCTGGGGTCTCTGCCTCTCTCTGTTTCCCATGAATAAATAAATAAATTGTAAAAAAAAAAAAATATATATATATATATATTGGGACGCCTGGGTGGCTCAGCGGTTGAGCGTCTGCCTTCCGCTCAGGGTGTGATCCTGGAGACCCAAGATCAAGTCCCACGTCCCACGTCGGGCTCCCTCCATGGAGCCTGCTTCTCCCTCTGCCTGTGTCTCTGCCTCTCTCTGTGACTCTCATGAATAAATAAATAAAATCTTAAAATATATATATATATGTATATATATATAGTCATTGACAAAAAAACAAAAAACAAACATAAAGTCTCACAAAAAAAAAAAAAAAAACCCAAACTGTCATTGGCTACAAATTTTGTGAAAAACCTTGATTATAAAAACATAGTGATTTTGCTGAAACAAAAGAAAATTAAATTATATGGAATATATGATAAAATATAAATTATATCCATCATCTATTTTTTTTTCTTATCCAAATGTCACAAGTGTATCAACTAAACAACCAAACATGCACAATGATGATTAAATTCCATTGCTTTGGTATGTTGCCAACTTTTAGTCATACGGAAACCA